CTTTTTCTAATAATAATTTTGTTCAAATTATAAATAAGAAGAATTTAATATTCATATACAAAGCCAAAATTAAGTTTTTCAACTGTTAGTAAAATGTTTGACATTCCATTTTACTTATATATTTCGAGTATTTGCAAATGGTTAATTTGAACTGATTTATAGTACAGCTTCAAAGTTATTATTATTTTCAGATGGGTTTTGTGGATATTATAGTAATTTCAATGGTTAAGATCATGAGTCAGTTGAAGCTAGACGTTTAACATCGTTGAATGAACTCCTTTGGGTAACAATAAAAAGTCATCCATTAGTGAAGGACTACTCATTGGTATATTATGGAACTTCTTAATAGTGCAAACCCATTATAGCTTATGAGATTAAACGCAGAAACTTACAGTGAAACTGAGTTCATTTCACGTCTAGATTATTTGGTTTATATTTTTAGTTTCATTCAATTCATACTACGAAGCGACGAATATTATCCATTACTATGGGTAATATTTATTTCCCGTTTAATGTAAGAATAATGAAAATTTCAATGATGAGATGATGAGTCAGTTGAAGCTAGACTACCATGGAAAATCTGGAAGCACTGGACGGCCGTTCCGTCCTATTGTGGAACACCTCAGCAGTGCGCATCCACGACCTCGCCCGTTGTGAGATTCGAACTCAGGACCTAACGGTTTCGCGCGCGAGCACTTAACCACTAGACCACTGAGCCGGTCGGCATCCAATGGTGTTAATGTCTAACTTCAACTAATCCACAAAATTTAGCGACATATCCACCAACGGCCGTCCAGTGCTTCCAGGTTTTCCATGGTGGTCTAGCTTCAATTGACTCATGATCGTAACCAATGAAATTATTATTATTTAATTAGTTTTGTTATATTCGTTAAGTAATACGTTCGTATTGTTCTAAAACAAGTATTAATACTGCATAGCATTGAACCTTAGTATATACATTTTAAAAGTATTCCCATCTTTTTTTAATTTTATAACTGTATAATCAAAGACAGAAAATGGAACATGTAATATTTGATCATTAAAGTCAGAAATACGGATCATTAATTTCTGATTAGATCTTCTTAAATTTGTTCTACATTTGAATCATTGAAGAGTCATGAATGTTCACTGATAAAAAGTTTCAATATACAAAGAAAATATCACATGGTAAATTCAGTTAAATTATTAATTTACACTTTGACTAATTAAGAGACGTTGCATAGAACAACTTAGAAAGAATATATAATCGAATAAAAATAGTCAGTCAGTCAGCTACAACGTAGGACCAGGCACATATATGCATTGGTCCAAGTTGCCATACCTCATTAACACAACAAGATGGACACCGGATTCATAAAAGTAGTTAATTCAGAGGTGGTAATATATAAAAGAAAGATTGCAATAAGGATATAGTACAGGAAGAAAGAATTAGTTCGTAGAAAGAAAGATATGAAGCAATTTTAATCTCTTAGTTGAAGGGAAGATAGAGAGTGTATACACCGACAATTTAAAAAAAAAGTACTTTGTAGAAATTGTATCCATGACTAGTATCCAAATTAAAATGTGATATCTATTGATGGTTGGAAAAAAATATTAAATAGTTGTTCTCTTATGAATATGAAAACTAGTAAACATATAAATTAATCTTACAACAGTTTGAATAGTATAAGTATTTAACAACAATAAAATTGCCTGAAATATGAATCGTTGTAGCAACTTTTTGTTTTTGTTTTTTTAAACTAGACAACAGTTGTTCATATGGTTTTCGTTCCAAGTAGAAAAAAACGGAGAGACAGAGAGAGTAATAGAAAGAATGTGAAAAATGCAACTGAAATGAGAAAACTATTTTAAATTCACTACTAATTAATTGATACAATAGGTGATAATATTTATATCCCGTAAGGGTAAACATTTTAAACATTGAAAATAGTTTTATTTTGTTGTTGACACAATTTAAAATCTAATGAACTATTGGTCGAGTTATTGTAAATAGTTATTGAATGACAAGTTTGAATTCATAATGTTCTATCTCTAAGACTGATGATTATATTCTATATTTATGGATAGAATTAAATCAGAACTAAGAACATTTCAACCTGGAATACTGGCAGTCTGTTTAAATATCTAAGCTACCGGTTTCTGTCATCTAGATATTTCAACAAGTTATCTGTTTTTTATTTGTTTTGACATATCATTGTGTCTAGTATTGTCATAACCTATTCAGGTGTGTTTATGAAAAGTTCACGACCATTCGCTGTACAAGTTACAAAAAAGTATAATCAGAGGCATCGTGGTGGCTGGCAATAGTCACTGAAATGAATGAATATCATTTAATTGTTGATTCCTGAAATACTAACATGTAACTGGTGATCACTCAATATTTATTGTCAGGATTGATCAAGAAATAAGAAAAAGAAACTTGTTGGAGTACTTTGTGCTGAGAATTCATATTGTATCAAAAATATAATATTAGGCAAATTCATTAATAACAGTTAGTGTGAACTCTACCAGTTAATTGTTAATTATAACATGGGCTTAAGTAAATTTGATGAGACTATAACATATGGGCGCTCTTTGAGAGATGCTAAAGTGACCTTAAGAACGTCCACTTACTAATTAGGACTAAATAAGGATTAAAAAGCAGTGTGAGGAATCAGAATTATGATTAACAGTTGGTGATTAGGGTTAAAAATTAGATTTAGGGTTTTCATCACGAACTGAAATAAGCTAAAATACCAAAATACTATTTATATAAATAGGTGAATGAATTTCGAGCCAAAATCCAAGACCTGTTATCCTAAATCTGATTGGCTCGTCCATAACTTATAGTCTCGCCGTAAATCTAGCTGAAATCTGAGAATATAATGCAAGTAAATCCATTGTCCGAAAACAGGTTTCAATCATTTTAAATTAGAAAAGTATAAAAAGATTTCTGATTGCTTAGTGTCGGGTTTTATAAAATGACCAAGATAAAATCGTCAAAATGTAAACTATTGAATAAATGTATAATGTTGATAGAAAACATTAAAAATTATGTAGCACTGCCCCGATTTGATTTTCATTTGAATAATTCAGCAAACAGTATATATGCAACAAAATATGATGATCACTTATATCTATGCATAAATACTACCATTTGAAGAATGTACATAAATTCTACCATCTTATCTCTATATGGTACACACAATGTCGAGTCACTTAAACTGGTGGCCACATTGCAACTTGATCGATAGGATTCTATCTGCACTAAGAATGATCTGACATGAATGACATTGATCACCATTCAGTGATCAATCAATTGTAAATAAATTCCTCTGTCATTTCATTAGGTATTGATTTCCTGTAACTAAAATTCATCAGAATTAAATCATAAAATTCTACATGAATATATACCATTTGTTTCGATATCGAGTAAGATCTTTTTAAGAAAAATATTTTCTAAACAACATATGCATATATTTTACAAATGACTATAACGAAAATGTCTAGGTGTACATTATAATTATTTCCTTCTTTACATTTATTTGCCCTAAGCTATGTCTACATGCAAAGATACAATTAATAGTAAAGCATTTAACATTGATAATATCATAATATAGTGATGAACATTTCATTATTCAAATATTAAAGAAACTTATACAAGTAACTACCATTTGGAAAAGAAATACAAACAAAATATTGACCAGATGTTTGACTACTACGAAAATTACTCATTATTCACTATCCTCCGTGTAAGATCTAAATTCAATTTTAGGGTTAAAAAACAAAAAAACATTTTCTTCATCAAAAACTAGATGATATACTAGTTTTATTTATTAGTTTACATGCATTTTAGTTCAGAAAGCATAGTTCTCATTACTTGAAATCGATCTTCTAAGTGTTGTCTTTTATCCTAATTCTGATGTCGATACTGTAACCCTTAAACCATTATCCGTTGTTTTATGTGTCGATTCTTTATACACTAAACTGTCTAACTACCACAGTCATAGACCTGTCAGATGGATAAGATTATCATTATTGGTTGTAAAAGTTTAACAAAAGTTAAACTGATTCTTATATATTCAAAAACGGAAAATATAGAACTTTAAAATTAATAAAGTTACATGGTATGATGTAACCGAGAGAAAAATCCCTGCCAATTGATTCGGTTACTTGTAGAAAACATAGGACCCGTTTTAAAAACGTATCGGTGCAAAACACCCTACATTATAGTAGAATAAACGGGAGTTAAAGTAATTTAGTAGTATGACACATTTAGTCGAAAAGCTAGCCACAAGAAGTAGATATGATACTATGTTAAGGATTAAGTGAAAGGTAGCCAGTGCTCTGAAGTTTACCGCTGAGATCGAAGTACGAGAATAGCAACCTTTATTTTCAAAAGTAGGTATGTTTACGTTACATTCTTTGAAGCTGAAGTTTTGTGCATTATAAACGTGGTGAATATCAACGTCCAGTAATTTCGTAAAATAATGCCGTTTCCAGCTTGCGCTAACTTAAATCCATACTATCTTTGATATAAGATCAGAGTAGGAGTCTACTCACTTAAATCAGTGACGTTTTACTCCTATACGAAACAATTTACTTATTTCACTTAAAATTTAGTGATCAGATGACAGTACTCACTTTTTTGTTACAGAAAATAACTAAAAACTCTTAAACCGTGCTTACTTCTTGTTTCGTGGGTTATGGCTTACAGGGGACTGTTATATAGTAGAGTAACCGTTCAGGAAGTTGGGAGAATATCTCAACTGACTCATGGTAGTTTGAATTAATAAAACTACTTGTTACTAATGAATATAACTTAAATAAGTTAATATGAGAATAATAAAACAAATTCATATATCACCTACAATAATATTATGACAATATAAAAGTATAAAAACATCTCATCAATTCACTTAAATATCTGTCTAGACATTAAAATCATTTTATAGGATCAGCTGCAGTTCCCCGTATTATGTACATTTAATATCATTACTTAATACAATATGAATACTTACTTATTCCATCCGACAAAACTGATGTGTATGCTGTTTGAGTGACATTTCTTATAATCGGTTTAGATGGAGGTCGTGAATTCGCGTCTGTATCTACTCTATTCGAACTAGTATATAATACATCGATTGGTCCAATTAGGCGGTGTGACACTTGATAACCTCGTATATCACCATGTGTTCTTTCCGGTGGATCCCATGCTAGTTCTAATATTGCATAATCTGCTTTTGGATCACTTGCACCGGGTGGAGTAGCTCTTCGTAGTTGATTTAAACGTAAATTGCGTGGAGCAGAAGGAACTTGAAAACAAATTGAAGGATCCAAAAAACATGGATTAGAATTAAGAATAAATGGTATGCCCAGATTTTCAGGGCTTTGTTGAATTGAATACATCACATGTAATAAATAAACAACGGTTATATAAATTTTAGCATACACTATACACGTTTGCATATTGTTTCCAAGTAATTGTAATGAAATTACACAAATATGTTAATTAATTCATTTCTTTATGCTTTTTTGTTTATTTGTTGATTTTGATAAAAAGTAATACGAACTAATTCCAAATATTGTCAATCAACAATAATCATTCATCTGAAAAACTACTATGTAAACTGATATGTGTTAATGACCTTCATCTTGTTTTATTTTTATCCAATGAAATTATTCGAATTTTACACCAATCGAATTACAACAATTTACTTGACCAATGTTTGCTCTTATAATGTTATTTATAATAATGTTGTGTAGATAGATTCGGTAACTAGTCAAGTACAAATTTTCAAGAATTTTCAATTAAATTTTTTATAATTCTATTGAAATATTATATTAGGTACAAGTTCTTTCGTTAATTCATTCAGTTGTATTAGTAATTAATCTTGTACTTATTTGATATATTCCAAGGTTCAAAAGAGTTTCCTCAGAACAACAATGTTAACAATTGAGTTAGAATAAGTATAAGTAATCATAGATTTCATAAGAAGTAGATGATATTTCAAGACAAAGAATTGTAGTATGATGAAATAGATGATTCTATGAAAATAAATTTATCAAAATTCAATGGTTACTGTATATGTAGGCGTAATTTGAGTTTGAGTGTTCAAAATATCGTGGTAATACAACAGTATCACTAGTTAGTATCACGTTTTATAGCTTGTATTTCTAAATGAATTCAGTAAATATGATATACGATGATACCATTTAGCTAATAAATATTACCATGTTATAAAACACTTATGATATTTCTTATTTGTATAAAAATTCAACGAATTATCACATAACATAAATATTTTCAATAAAAACACATTCCTTAATTTCAAAAAAGATTATCAGAATGATGGGGAGAAATATGTATTCCGCCATAAGGTCAAACCAATATCCGATTTCGAAGGTTTCTTGAAGTTTTCATGATAAGTACATACGATTAGATAGATAATTTTTATCAGATTTAACTTTAAAATGATTGGCATATCATAGATACGAAGTTTTTACTGTTCAATCTATTGTTTTTTATGAAACAGTATATACTGAGAACAATTTAACCTTGTTTACCAACTGCAAGTTTATATACTTATATTCAAACTGTATCATTTGTTTGTAGGGCCAACTGATTTTGTTTGAGTGACTTAGTTGAAACATGTAGAACAGAGTTGAAACCTTCTACCTATAACCAGAAAGCCAAGTAAGCATAAGCAATTTAGAAATACCTTCCTGGACTGTCTAGAATCCACATAGATGAAACGAATAAAAAAAGTATCGAGAAAAATGAAAAACGCTACTTTAAGTTATTAATGATGATAACTGATAGCCCTCTATACATTTGATGAATTTTTCTTGTGGATTCTGAAACCTTAAAGAATGAGGTATAAGTGTTTACATCTTCAGAACTGCTAGCTGTTATATCTTAGCGAAGATTAAATTACGGGTAAATTCTGAGATCCGTTAATGCAGTAATATATATATATATATTCTTATTGTGTAACTATTCAGTAACTAGCTTATGTATATCTGTATTCCTCTTAATATAAACTTCATTTTGACCCATAGATTATTATTATATATGAAATTATACTCAGTTCATTAGTTATAGTCTCCCATGTTCACAGTCAGCTTTTGGCTTGATCTTGTATAAATCTTATTTCTTATTTTATGGTGTGATACGGTCTGTTTGACTGGTATATAAATTAAGTATGTTTGAAATAAATAATTTGCATAGTGGAAGCTGTTATTGGCGTTCTCGACTCAACTGGAAGGGCTAGGAGAACATAGGACCAATAAGGACTTTAGGCTGTTCATACCCGTCTAACGTCATTGGTTTAGTACAGTACAAAATTGTACAAGTCGCATTTCGATTGGCGAATAAATCACGTGATAATTAGCCGGGCTTAAAGTCACAACACTAGTTACCATCATCTCTGCATATATTGGCTATGCGTTTGTTTGATGATTATATTTTACTAGAAAAACAATCTATAGATTAATGTCCGTAAGATAGATCGATGTATCCATGTTAATATTGTCGTAACTACAAAAGAGTTTTAACAACAGTTAACTATGCATAAAATAAAGAAATTTGAATATAAGTAACCGAATTAAAAATTGAATCGATTATTTTTTGGAAAAGTGTATTTTTTTGTTTGAGTGAAAATTCGTTTTTCCCCCTCACTTAGCGAAACATTTAGTTTCCATTTTTTTCCCATTTAAAATCTAAAATTAATAATAATTACTCTTCGTTTTTTTTCATTTACTTCAACTTCACTAACGTTTACGAAATAATACCGTATAGAAACAGGGTTGTATTATTTAGAAGAAAGAATTGATTACTTTTTGAAGTGCTCAATTAATTTAATTAGACTCAGTGAAAATTAACATTTTTATGAAAGAATGAAAAATAGTAAACCAAGTTACAATTTAAAAATATGCCTAAAATCATTATATTGTTTCATTTTTCTCAAAAATAGATACAGAAATCATCAGACTATTACCCAATGATCTAGAAGTTAAGTAGTCATGATCTATTCCAGTATTGGTGGATACAATCTGCTGTTGAGTCAAAGTTATAGACTATTAGAATCTCTCAAATATAATTCAGTTAAACATTTATTATTTGCTAGTTATTATTAATCTATTACTTTAATCGTGATTCACTTGGGAAATAAATAATTTGTAATTAACCATAAAAATTATTGGATTATCTACATCACAATCTAGATGAATGACATTATTATTACTAGTAGTTCTCTTTTTCTTCTGTTTAAAATTTAAATGTTTGATCCTGTGTTGATAAATGAATAAATCAGAAGAAAGTTTTATGGAGATTTTAGTAATTTTATATTTGAATTTATCAGTCAGTTGAAGCTAGAACACTATGGCATACCTGGAAGCACTGGATGGCCATTTCGTCCTATTGTAGGACTCCTCAACAGTGCCTTTGTTTTAATTATTCTACTTATTGATTTTTATTATCTCAAACTAAGTAATTTGATTCTATACACTCGAATGTATCTTATTATGTAGAACATTATTCAATTGAGTAATAAGTAGTGACATGATTTTTGTAATGGAATTGTATGTTTATTAGTGAAAAATTCTGCATCAATATCAATTGACTATTTGTTAATGAAGATAAGAAGTTATAACCACATATTTATCTTTGTATTGGATAGTACTCAACTACTAGTTTGCATTGAAATTATAAATTGGTGGTTAAGATCTCTTTTCCAAGGGTTGAACACTGGTTATCTAATTAGAACATTTGTTTTGTATAATAATTTATATTTGAGATATTATGTAATATAATGAATTATTACTTTAATTCAATTCGTCATGAATTGAACACAGTTAACGAGAAATGAAGAGACTTTAAATGTATATGGGCTCTATATGTGATAACGGTTCAACAACATCAAAAATTTCAGTGATAAATTTTGCTGAAAGTAAGTAAGTCCAAAACCTATTAGTAACAACAACAGATTTTGTAGCTTATATAAAGTTCTCAAATTTTCATTTGATGATGACCTCAATACATACTAAACAAGCATACTGAGTTATAAGTAACTTTTTTCGAAATAGCTTAATGATATTCCTCTATTTATAGAACATTGCATATTAAATCATGATAGAGAGATGGTATAAAGAAATAGTGAGAGGAAAAAATGATCAAATATTATTCCCTTTCGAAAATAATAAAATTTAAATTTCTTTCAGTGTTCTCATTCAGTAAACTGTTGAGTTTGTATTCAGTTTCAGAGCCGTGTAACTGATATTTTTTTATTGAGATCATGAATCGATTGATGTTAGATCATCATTGAAAATCTGGAAGTACTAATATGTAAAGTAAGACATTAACACCGTTAGATTCCGGCTCAGTGGTCTAGAGTTTAGACATTCGGCCGCGAGACCGAGGGTCCTGGGTTTGAGTTTCAAGTGCAGGATCGTGAATACGCACTACTGAGGTGTCCAATACTAGGATGAAACGGTCATTTAGTGCTTCCAGGTTTTCAACGGTTGTTTAAAATCAATCGATTCATGAACTCAATCAAAAAACTTAACAATCTCCTCAGCTCCATACTGATAATAAATAATAATTAACAAATGTAACATTACCATGTGATTATGAAAAACTGATAGACATTTTTCTTAATATTAACAGAATGAACTTTTTATATTCATAAAAGATTTTCCTGAATATTTACTTTTTAAACGAAAATTTATGGTATGATTTCCATGACTTGTGAGAATTAAATTTTAAAAAAGACTTTAACGCTTTTATCTTCAAGACATCATACAGTTCATTTGAAATCTTTATTTATTACTCTTTTATATTAAACTCATTAAATAAATGAATGAATTCCTTAATAGACCCAATTTTATATTCACTATTCAACGTAGATCTTTATAGTGAATAGTTTTTGTGATATTTTAACACTCCAGTACTGTCGATTCTAATGAAAATGATTAACAATATATATAATGTATAGGAGCCAGCTATATGGAAAAAAAATCATTTTTAATTAAAAACTTGTTCATTAAATCAAGTCAGATAAACTAGAGTGGGTATATCTCATAGGTAACCAAGTGCTCTATTCGAGATAATTACACCATAAATTTAAACTTCCAAACTTATTTAAGTGATAACTTCAATAGTTGAGATCATGAGTCAATTGAAGCTAGACCACCATGGAAAATTTGGAAGCACTGGATGGCCGTTTCGTCCTATTGTGGGACTCCTCAGTAGTGGACATCCACGACCCTACCTCTCGGGAATCGAACCCAGGACTTATCAGTCTCGCGCGCGAGT